TTGTTTTTAACTTTGATCTAATAAGCACAAATGAAAATATCAACTTGATAAAACTTGCTATTGTTAGCATTCACTTTAATTTAATTATGATGATAATTATTATTAGTTATTAATAAAATTATCAATTATTTCATATTAAAAAATTTAGTAAAAAAAAAAAAAAAGAAAAGTGACAAAATTTTCTTATGTCATCTCACTTTATCAACATAATCAATTTACATGAAACCTTAGTTTTTTACCCACAAAGTATTTATGTCCTCATAATTTGTTTTACATCACATAATTATTTTTTTAAGACTATATAATAAATAATTTATGACATTTAATTTTTTATATACGAGTATATTAAAATTCAAAACTAGATAAAGAAATTGTAATATAAATATATAAAAATTGAAGATCGATAAACTAAAATTAAAAAGATAATACACAATAAAATTAGCACGAAAATTAATAATTTAAATAAAATGATAAAAGCACCTATTGAAACTGAATTATCATAAAAAATTATAATAAGATTAAAAGGCAAGAAAAAGTTTTGTAACTTGTTATTCATAAAAAATGAAATAATTTTTTTGGTTATAAATAAATTCTACAAGCATTTCATATTTTACCAAACATAATCTATAATTATATATTTATTATTTTAGAAATATAAATAAAAAATGTAGAATAAAAACAAAATTTAAGTGTTTAAATAATAAAATTTGATCCGAGAAAATTGACAAATTCAAAAGTCATAGTTAATGGTCTTCCCGAATAAGGGCATTTCGGGGATTATGAGAATACATCGGGGTTCCGTCAATTATCAGTCCCACACCGACCGAGATGAAATGTAAAACCCTTCTCATTCGCGGAGATTACCTGCTTCTCGCCACGTCAGCTCCCAATCCGTTATCTCCACGTCACTACTGCAGTTTCTCTCCATACAATCTGCACACAAGGCTCATCAGACGGTCCATATTTCTTCACTGCCCAAAATCCAACGGTCGTGTTTCCTCTTTCTAGACTCTTCGAATCACGAAGAGGAGGGAGAGAGAGG